AATGCAGAGCAGAGTGTGGCAGTGGGGTCTCATAAGAACTGTATTTTTAGAGAAGAAACTCAGAAGGATGTGCTTTGCTTTGTTTGAATTGACACGGAACAGCAACAAAGAGAAAAATCCTGAAATTCACACAGAGAACAGTATTGAACAGCAGTGAAGGCCAAGATGAAATGTGACTGTGAGAACTGACCTCCCTTGGGATTTCAGAAATACTGGAGAGAAAATATGGTATGCAACAGGGGGACTCAAGCTGATCCAACCCAGGTATCAAGAAGAAAGGAGAATCTGATGTCTAGATTATGCCTGTAACCCATGGATGACTTTCAATGCATTTTTCCATACATAGTTTTATCCAATTCTCACAACTCTATTCAGTGAATATAATGATCATTAGCATTTTACAAATGAACAGTGGGGCTTGGAGATACTACTTAATTTTTCTCAAAATCCCATGGGAAATAGAATCAGTATAGGATCAGATGGGTCACCTGAAGTTTTTAAGGTGTCTGTGACCTTAAAAACTGTTCTATTCCGTAATTTCAAGAACTTGCAAATATAATTGTAGTTAGAGAAGAAACTTTTTATCTCTAAATTATTCACTAATTTAGATTCAACCCTGTCACATAGCGCTAACATGACTTCCAAGAAATATGCTAATAGAGCCATTAGTTAGGATGCTTCCTTATTATCACCATTTAAAACATAATCAAAATGAGCTATTCTAATGAAACTCTCACACAGTTTGCAAACTTCTCTTCATTATGCCCAGGAAGTAAATGTATATTTCAAGGAAAATCTTAAGTTACTATTTAACTTTTAGAAATTTTAACCTCCAAGGATAATTAGTATGATATAATCATTTAACAAAAACTCTCAGGAGTCTTGCATTTATATCATCAGAGCAGCCTCAAATATGTAAAGGAATAGTGATGCTTTTATGAAAGAAAAAGCGATAGTCATGTCTGTTTGTGACCCCATGGACTGTAGCCGACCAGGCCACTCCATCCATGAAATTATCCAAGCAAGAAGAGTGGAGCGGGTAGCCTTTCCTTCTACAGGCATCTCCTCAAACTAGGGATTGAACCTGGGTCTCCTGCACTGAAGACAGATTATTTACCATATACCTAAAGGTACTTTGGAAACGTTCAATTCAATAAACTGGCCTTTAAACTGGGCTCTGACTGGTTGGCAGGTAGGATTGGGGATAAGAGAAACAGATCAAAAATAAGAATACTTGGGTCTTGGACCAGGAGGAATTTATAATGATACTTCAAATTAGGAGCCTAGTTGCTTACATATTACATACTTGGGGAATTTTTCAAGAAAATCCATTAGGAAATTATAATATGATGCTATAAAAACATAAATAACTACAAATTGATGATGATTTCTATTACCAGGCACTATGAAAGAAAATTTTCATATTTTATTGTATCTATTCCTCATGACAGCTTTATAAAGTCTTCATTATTTGTTTCCATTCTGCCAATGAGGAAACTCAGATTCTGACATGGGCACGGAGATAATGGGAAGGGGAAGGAAGGGCTTGCAGTCTGATTCCAGGAGGAAGTGGTCCTTGTTATTCCCAAACTGGAATCTGGTGAGACTTTGTATGATAGTATTACCTTCTAGAACAAAGGGGTCTACTTTAACCTACCAACATCATCATGCCATGTAGTGTCTCCAATATCTTAATCATTCTAGAAGGGCTTTCTTTGCTGGATGGTTAATAGATTAGCCAGCAGTGTTTGGGGATACAAATAAAATTTGTTTACTAGTGACTTAAAATACCTAAATTATGACTCTCCTATAACAAGCATCTTACAATAAGATGCTGATGTCGGGGCTTCTCTGCTGGCTTGGTGGTAAAGAATCCATCTGCCAGTGTAGAAGATACAGGTTCAATCCCTGGGTTGAGAGGATCCCATACGCCGCAGAGGAGCTAAGCCTGTGTGCCACAGCTTCTGAGCCTGTGCTCTGGAGCCCAGGAGCCACGAGGACTGAAGCCCGCGTGCCTGGAGCCCTGCTCCACGATGAGAGAGGCCACCGCAGTGAGAAGCAGACACCCCGCAGCTAGAGAGCAGCCCCGCTCTCCACAACCAGAGGAAAGCTCGTGCAACAACCAAGGCCCAGCATGGCCAGAAATAAATAAATAAAATGAAGATACTGATGGCGTAATCCCAGGCCCAATGAAAACAGTCTCACCATCTCTACCGCTGTATTATGCTCTTGACTTTTCTCATCATCACATGGAGACTGCTCCAACTTCAAGCATCATATCGGCATCCATCACAGCAGTATGTAGGAGAAAAGGACAAGTTCACCTCTGTGGTTCTCCAGGTAGCTACAAAACTAATAAAATTAATATTAATAGCTATAATAAGAGCAGTAATAATTATTTCAGTGCGACTGTAACTGCACATATGCTAGGTTGTATAATATTTTTTTCTATAGATTGTCTTACATACTCTTTCTGACTCTTCCAGGTACAGTTATTTGTACCCTCATTTTACATACAGTGAAGTTGAGACCCAGAAAGGTAACTTCATATATCCAAGGTCATATAATTAGCAAGAAGGAAAAGCACAATTTCAGATCTGCTCTCTCTGGCTCTTACTGTGATGCTCTCAGTCTTTTGTTGTACTGTTTCTCAGAATCACTGAATAACTGATCGAATATACTGGTGTATAACTATACTTCAAAACCTCTTTCAGATCCACATTCTCCGTCATGCCCTTTAAGATCCACCATTCTTTCATTCTTTCAACTTTCCTAGCTCCCTCTTTTCAATTTCTGTTTGTTACATCTCTTATGGTGTCTTATCCATCATTCTATGAGTCATTTGCCACATTTCCTTATTTTTTGTATTCTGTTGTAAGAAGTTAATGGGCAGGGTTCATGCCCACTGTTAAGCTCAAGCATGTGCTAGGTGTTTAGAAACGTGTCCCTAAGTCAATGGAAACTCTAAGACCCTGCGGCCTGATGTTTTATAAAGGGTGATGGAATCTGAGGTTCAGTTTGGCCGAATCCAGCTGGTTGGGATCTCTTTTACCATTGCTAGATGTACCAGTCTTGAAACATAATTTATGATCTCTGGGAATATAAGTGGGATATAGCAGTTTTATGGGCTTCCCAGCTGGTTCAGTGGTAAAGAATCTCCTGCCTGCCAATACAGGAGACACAAGAGACTCGGGTTGGATCCCTGGGTTGGGAAGATCCCCTTGGAGAAGGAAATGGCAACCCATTCCAGTATTTGCACCTGGAAAATTCCATGAACAGAGGAGCTTGATGGGCTATAGTCCATGGGGTTGCAAAGAGTAGGACATGACTATAAGCCTGTGTGCACACACATAGAGTTTTATAACTATCACATTCAACTAGTCCAGTCATTCATCTCCAAAGTAGAAAACACAGCTTTCTTCCCTACAAAAATTAAAATTCGCTTTTATATTAAATCAAGGAATCTGTCTTGGTGATATGTTAGCTATTTCTATTTTAAAGTAACAATACATTTAGGAACACTACAATAAAATTGTCACTTCTTAATTGCATATTACATCTCTTTATTCTAGAACTTAAGTTTATTTTTTATTTTGTATTCCCTATTCAACAGGTCTCCTGAGAGTGCTTTCTCATCTTTTCATTCTTTCCTTAAGCCAGAGAATATTTATTAATAACACCTATTCTATGTATGGCACTCTAGGAATCATTGGGAATAAAGAGATATTGTAGTATTATAGACATCAGGAAGAATTATATTCAAGGTGCATTAGCAGGCAAAAGAATAAGCCAATTTTCTTGAAAGCATTATGGAAGGCATTACAGAAGAGGAAATATTTGAGGAAGGATGAGAAGGAGTTTGTTAGCTGGACAAGAAGACAATAGGACAAAGGGAAAATCTGATACAAGCATATAAAAAATATGACCCACGGGGGAAATATAAGTAATTCTATGTGGGTGAAGTATGGGCTGTAATACAAGAGTGATGGAGACAGAGCTGACTTAGCAAGTGGGCAATAAATCACAGTACATCTCACTTACCCTGTTAAGGTTCCTGCAATGCTATCAGGAATAACTGAGTACAAACCATCAGAAAAGCCACGTTTAGATGCTACTGTTGCTCAGTGGTTATCATGGAACCTACCATCTTCTGCTTTATTTTTTTATCTGGTGAGATAATAAGACAACCTGATGCTCAGACCAGCTGTCCTGCACATCACTGCTTTGCATAAGTGATGTATTAATTATTTATCTTTGTCTAATAAAGTACTCCCAACTTATCCACCTAAATCAACATTTTTTTACCCACAGTTTCTGAGGAGTACAGATCCTGGAGCAGGTTAAGTGAATATTTTTGATCCATGGTGTGTCATGAGATTTCAGTCAAGCTATCAGGTAGGACTGCTATCATGTAGAGGCTTGACATGGACTAGAGAATCTCATTCAAATGTCGATTCCATAGCTTTGCTCATAACATTGTAGGTGGTTTCCCATAGTGGAAAAAGAGAAAGAGAGAGAAGGAAGAGAGACAATATATATTCAATTTTTCTGACCTACAGTGTCCAAAGTTTCACAATGCCTCTTCTGTTGTATTCTATTGTACACACAGAGTATCCACAACATAAAGTAGGCAGGGAATATACAAGGACATGAATACTAGGAGGTGAGGATCAGTAAAGGCTATGTTATCAATATGTTTCTGTCTGGATCCAGTGATTCATATCACTCCTGTATCAAAAACCACAAAACACATTCAAGGCCCCTCAAAGCTTCATTCCATTATAGTGTCTGCTTGAAGTACATAATCTGGTCATCTAAATAAAGTCCAGTTGTCAATAGGATCCTTGGATATAATTTCATGTTGAAATTCTGAAGTTAAGCTCCTTTCAATTTGGAGTCATAAACTAATGAAACTAGTTATCTGCCCTCATACATCCAACATAAACATACAAGAATATCTATGTATACTTACATCCTTTTTCAAAATGGAAGACGTGAGAGGCACGTAGGTATCACAGTTCCTGGAAGCTCTCGGATCCTGCTAAGAAAATGTTGAAAGTTTTTTTTTAAATTATTATTCTAAATCTGTCAGTCCTACTCCTCTTCAGGAGTTATGTTCCATAGCTTTTGAGTTTGCCTTCTAGGCTCTTGGCTATACAAAGCCACTCTTCCTTTTCCATGAGAAACAGTGAGTATTTACAGGTAAGCTGTCTTATCAGCCTATTTCCTCCTAGTGGTACGAAGGTCTTTCACTTTGTCCTCTTTCTGTCCCTTTTGCTCCAAGCTGACATTGTTTCTACTGATATAATCCTCTTAAAAATGTTCTGGGTCCCCTGTGAATCTTCTTGGAGTTCATTAGACAAAATCTACACTAACAAATGCCTTTGTAATAAGCCTTTCTCTTCTGTGGGTCTCTGTCCAATGCTGGGTGATGCTTATGTACAGCACCCTTAATTATCCCAGAAACCCCATCTCTGTGGGGGGTTTTCTGCCTCCGGAGGTACAGGGAGGCATCACCTTCAATCTATCTGGAATCTTATCAAAATATTTTTCAGTTACAGTGTTTGTTACATCTTTAGTGTTCCTGGAAGTAGCCTGGATTGCTCAATATTTTTTAAAGATTTTTTTTTCATGTGGACCATTTTTAAAGTCTTTATTATTGAATGTGTTTCTGTTTCATGTTTTGGTTTGTTGGCTGCCAGGCATGTGGGATCTCAGCTCTTTGACCAAAGATGGACCCTGTACCCCCTGCATTGGAAGGTGAAGTCCCAACCAATGGACCCCAAGGGAAATCCCAAGGAATGTTTAATTTTTTAATTTAGAAATAACTTCTTAATTTTAAAATCCTTTGCTATCTTCAGAAGCTTAATAATTTTAAAACAATCAAATCCTAGCCTTTTCACATATAACAGCTTTTGCTTTTGTTTACCACTTTCCTTTTTCATTTACTATAAGCAACAAGGAGAAAAACATTCTGTCCAAGAATCTGCCTACTGGGTCATTTAGTTCAAAAAGCATGTTTCCTACTTGTAACATTCAGTTCGGTTCAGTTCAGTCACTCAGTCATGTGTGACTCCTTGTGACCCCGTGGACTGCAGCATACCAGGCTTCCCTGTCTATCACCAACTCCTGGAGCTTACTCGAACCTATGTCCATTGAGTCAGTGATGCCATCCAACCATCTCATCCTCTGTCATCCACTCCTCTTCTTGCCTTCAATCTTTCCCAGCATCAGGGTCTTTTCCAATGAGTCAGTTCTTTGCATTAGGTGGCCAAAGTATTGGAGTTTCAGCTTCAGCATCAGTCCTTCCAATGAATACTCACGACATTATTGTAAATGAAAATTTTGCTAAACTTTTAGCTACCACATAACTAGGATCTTCCTTCCTGTTTTCCAGTATTATCTTCGTGCCCCTTTATCCCATCACAAGAAGCCTTCTCAGAATCCATGATGCGTGGCAGACAGTTTCCTCACTACAACTCTTCATATCATTCCAGCGTCTAACACTTCCTGGTTCCAAAGCCACTACCAATTTTTTAGGTATTTGTTATAGCATTCCCACATCCAAATACCAACATCAATATTAGTTATCCAGTCTGTAGAAAAAATTACTCCAAAACTTGGCAATTTAAACACTAAACATTAAATATCTAGCACAGTTTCTGAAGACGAGGACTCCAGGAGTTGGCTGCCTGGGTGCTTCTAGTTTAGGAGCACTTGTGAGGTTTCAATCACGTTTTTGCTGGAGCTTCAGTCGTCTGGAAACCTGACTGGGGCAGAAGGCTTCACGTCCAAGTCACTGGTACAGCTGTTGGCAGGAGCCCTCAGTTCCCTGTGACAGGGACCTCTCCACAAGACTTCTCAAACAATTGTAGCTGACTTTCCCCCAGAGTGAATAATTTGAGAAGGAGAGAGTGGGCAAGCAAGTGGGAAACCTCAGTGTCTTTTATGATCCATGGTCTTCAGAGTCAGAAGCTGTCATTTCTTTATTTCTGTTGTATTCTATCGGGCATGCAGACTGTACCTGATACATTGCTGGAGGCGAGTAAGCAAGGTTTTCAGCATCAGGAGGGAGGATCCTTGGGGTCCATCTTAGAGACTGGCTACTACACGGTCAAGGCTTCCCAGGTGGCTCAGTGGTAAAGAACCTGCCTGCCATGCAGGAGATGCAGTAGACACGGGTTCCATCCCTGGGTTGGAGAGATCCCTTGGAGTAGGAAAAGGCAACCCGCTCCAGCATTCGTGCCTGGGAAATCCCATGGACAGAGGAGCCTGGCAGGCTACAATCCACGGGGTCGCAAAGAGTCAGACACAACTGGGCACACACACATACTACATAGTCACAGGCTATTTTCAAAGCTGCCTATGTGAAGGGAGCCCACTTACTTCTGATGTATAAAGCATAGATAAGCAATTAGCCACTTTCATTCTGTTTAATCTCTGTGCAGCTTGCGGAGAAGGGTGGAAGCTGTGAGTCGAATCCAGCAAAGCACAGTGAAAAGTATGTCTTACTGCTGTACTTTTAAGAAAAAGCTTGTAAGCAAGTGAATTGTCTTCTAGTCCTTCCTTCTAAAAATACTGTTACCCCATTGACTAAAGTGCAAACTCAAACTAGCCTCATTTATTCTTGAGTAAGGAGAAAGAATAGAGGACAGGAAGTAACATTTGGTAACCCCTTGATGGGTAGGGACATTATACCTTATCTATATCATGGTCAATCTAATTTGATCATCACAAAAACCCAGTCAGGTAATGATAATATCCATCATTTTATACTTGCGGCTGCAATTTTGGAGGCAGCTACCAGAACAAAGAAAGCTGCCCAGAGTGGAAGAAACTACATAGAGAGCCAAAAAAAAAACCCTTTGCAGAGGCCTTCCTCCGAATCTTCCACTGAGTACAGAACTGTGCTTGAGTGTGAGATATTACTCAGGGCCATGGCAAGGACCGCCATACGGGGGTACACAGAAGCCTCTGGCCAGGAACAGTTTTCCTTCCCACTAGCCAGAGTGGAAAACATTGTGTGTTAAGAAGCATCAGGTCGAGGACTCAGGTAATTAATGTTACCTGAATATTATGGAAAAACCTGACCTTGCTCTAGACCAACTTCACAAAGCTAAAAAGCAAGCCTCAGAGGGTGAAACTGATCTTAAGAAAATAAACTGCACCACAGATAAAAAGTCAGGAATATTTAAAGAATCTATTATTCAGTACTCAACAAGGTAAAATCCACCATGTCTGCCACTTAATAAAAAATTTAGCAAGTATACAAGAAGCAGGAAAATATAACCTTTAAGAAGAAGAAAAATTGAGTAATGGAAATGAAAAAGGCACGGATAACAGCAATAAGTAAATAAGGACATAACAGAGAGTATATCTCATATGTTCAAGACAGTAGGGAAATCCATGACCATGTTAAGGAGAGACATTAAAAACAGAAATACACAAAACTGAATTTCTAGAGATAAAAAAATAAGTGTTGTCTGAAGTGAAAACTATGTTACATTATATTTGCTTAAGAGAAGAATACACATTTGGGGTGGGGCAGAATATTAGTGACTTGAGGCACAGTGAGGAAACAATCCAAAATTTAACCAAAAGGTGAAGCCAAGTGCTTTGGCCTTCTCACTTTACATACTTACAAGACTAAAGCAGTTCAAGGAAGATAAAGATACCTAATATCAACACTAAAAGAACCACTGAATATTCAAATAAATAGGTAAAACTAGTAAGTTAGCAAAGAAGATAAAATGGAATAATGACTAAAAATATTCAGTTAATCCAAAATAAAGAAATTAAGGGAAATTGTGATAACCACAAAGAGGATCAACTGAAACAAATAACAAGATGGGAGATTTACTCCAAACCATATCAATAATTATGCTGAACGTAAATTATGTAAACAAGCATTCACAAAGTATAAAAGGCATACTGAATTTTATAGAAAGGTCCAGCTATATGCTGACTAAAAGAAATTCACTTTAATTGTAAGAATATACATCAGATGAAAGGATGAAAAAAGACAGGTCAGGTTAACATTATCAAAAGGAAGGTAGAATGGCAAATTTAATATCAGAAAATGTGTATTTCAGAGTAAAGATTATAACCATGAATAAAATAGTCATTTTATAATGATAAAGGGGTTAAATCATCAAGAAGACATAACAGTTTTAAATACTTCTGCACTGAATAATAAAACTTCAAAACACACGAAGCATAGACTTATACAAATAAAGAAGTCCACAAATATAGTTGAGGATGTCTCAATATTTTATAGAACAAGGAGCCAGAAAGTAAGTAGAGATATAGGAGATTTTCACTTCATTGTCAACTAACATGACCTGTTTGAGATTTACATAACATCCCATCCAAAAATATATATTTTATAAGTGCACATGAAATATTACTAAGATAGACTATCTTCTGGTTCTTAAAACAAGTCTTATAAATAGTGTTTGATCACAACTAAATTTTAATAGAATCAATAGTGGAAAGATATCTAGAAAATCACCAAATATTTGGAAACTAAATGTCACACTGAAAATGGTTCAAAGAAGACATCAAAATAGAAAACATTTTAAACTGAATGGAAGTGACAACATGGTATGTTATAATTTCTGGATGCACCTAACGCAGTAATCAGAGTAAAATTAGAGCATAAAATCCCATGTTAGATAAGAAGGAAGGTCTCAGATAACGACTTCAACTTTCACTTTAAGACGCTTGGAAAGGTCGAGCAAATCAAATCCAAGATAAACAGAGGAAAGGAAATAGACAGTAATTGATTGGACCATTTTACATTTCCATCAGCAGAATCTTGGAGTTCCGGTTGCCCACCTACACTTGGCCTGTTCGTCTTTAAAGCTGTAAGCATTGCAGCGGTTCTGTAGTGTTGACTCATTGTGGTTTAAATTTGCATTTTCCTTACGACTGATATTAAGGATCTTGTTTTAGATTTTTTAGTTGGAAGGTAATTGCTTTATAACACTGTGCTGCTCTCTGCCATATATCAACACGGTTCAGCCCCAAGTTTACACACGC